CAAAAAAAAAAAAAAAAAAAAAAGGGAAGATTCTGGGAAGATGGCCTACTGGTAGCAACCCTGGGCAGAGGCTCCTGAGTAGAGGAAGAAAACCTGGACGGAGGCTCGGTGCCTATGGCTCAAGCGGCTAAGGTGCCAGCCACATACACCTAAGCTGGCTGGTTCGAATCCAACCCAGCCTGCCAAACAACAATGGCTGCAACCAAAAAATAGCCGGGCGCCTATAGTCCCAGCTACTTGGGAGGCGGAGGCAGGAGACTCGCTTGAGCCCAGGAGTTGGAGGTTGCTGTGAGCTGTGATGTCATGGCATTCTACCCAGGGGTACAGCTTGCGGTTCTGTCTCAAAAAAAAAAAAAAAAAAAAAACTTGGACAGAATTGGACTCTATGAAGCCAAAGACGGGGAGCTGAGCCAAGAAAGAAGTTTGGCAAGCTATAACTCCAAGGAAGAGCATTCAAGAAAACAAATTACAAGTACAAAACCTATCAACTAGAGGACAGGAGACCTCTCTCCCAACAGGAGGTTTGCCACAGGCTATATGTGAACAAGCAGGGAACAAAAAACCTCTCATTTTACCTCGCTGGAGAGAGCTGCTAAACTCCAGGTCTCTTTATCCAGGGAGTTCCCACTTATGAACCTAGATACCACCCCTCCAGGCATAAAATTGAACAGATATTTTCCCCATAAGTCCAAACTCCCAGTCCATCCTTTCTACCTGGCATAGCCGCCTGAAGTTCTGTCCCCTGCAGACCACAGAGTGTTTGGTCCTGTCCTGAGACACATGGGCATAGTGTGGACTGCCAACCATCAGGACAGAATCTGAGACTAACAGGGACAAAAGACGGTGTGGTAAAAAAAGGGACACTCAGCAGGAGGAGGAGCAGTCCCCTGGCTATGACTATGCCTGGCCAGCGGTAGTGTTGACCCTCAGTTTGCACTGTCTGGTGGGACAGAGTGCAGAACCCCCAGCTCTGATGGCACCCACAGTGGGAGAGTGGTTGCCCCGTGTGGACTGTGTTCGGCAGACAGGGCTGGTCCCCAGCCCCTGCTGGGCCTGCGAGCAGAGGCTTGATAGATGTGGACTGCGACCTGAGAGCAAGGGAGTGGTCTCTTGATTCCACTAGAACCCTCGAGCAGTGGCTTACTGGGTTTGAACCAAGACCTGAGGACTAGGGCATGGTCCACTGTCTCTAGCGGGGCTGGTGAGCAGACGCTTACCAGGTGAGGACTGAGACCTGCAGGCGGAGTACGGTGCCGACTCTAACAGAGCCTGCGAACAGAGGCTTGCCAGGTAGTGGACTGAAACTGGCAGGCAAAGGCTAGCTGTATGTGGACTGAGACTGGAGGGTGGGGCCCAGGGCCCTGACTCCAACAGAGCCTGCAAACAGAGGTGTGCCAGGCAGTGGACTGAGACTGGCAGACAGGGGCGTGGTCCCCTGACTCCGACTCGCCTGGCAAACAGTGGCTAGCTGGAGGTGGACTGAGACCCGTGGCGGGGGCACGGCCTCTGGCTCCAGCTGGGCCTGTGAGCAGAGAAGCAGACAATAGTGTAGACAGAGTCTGGTGGGCAAGAGTGTGGATCCCTGGCTCCAGATGTGCTGTTGGAAACCCTTGAATCCCTCTCTGTTGGAAAGGGTTTACACTGCGTGAGACAATTTGGTTGGAACCCGTGTCTGGGGCTATCTACTTAGGGATATTCTTTCGTTTTTTTGTTTTTTTTTTTAAACAAGCTCTAGCAAGTTTTATTAAAGAAAAAATGTACATGATTTACTTTTCCCCAGTCTGTTCTGGCATGCTTCTAATGATATCAGAGTCACCTGGATCAATGATGGCCAGTGTACATACTCTGTAGTATTTTCCACATGCTGTGCCCAATTCAATATTATTGCTACTGTAGTGATGAACACCAGTTTTGGCTAACATGGCATAATACTCTATTTCAGATTTCCTCAAAGCTGGGCAATTGTTGGTGAGGATGACCAATTTCACTTTGCCTTGTCTGATCATCTTCAAAGTCTGCTTTTACCCCAGCACATACTTTCCACTTTTCATAATGAGCTGGAGCCTCGAGTTGATCGACTCCAGCGACTTTTTCCATCTTCTTTGTGGCCACCATCTTCCTGCCCTAGATGTGGGACGGCCCCCAACCAAAACCAGCCGCCAAGATGGCCGGGGAGCCAGAAAAAAAGCTACCTGGGGATATTCTAAGGTTGACCTTTGAAGTTCTGCAGTGGGAAAGAACTGAAGGGTGGGGGTTGGGTGCCACAGCTGTTTGTATCTCTTCATAGTCAAGATTAAAACCTAATACTGTGGTTTCTTAGGATAGGGTAGAGGTTGGCTGATAGCAAAACAGAGCTAGCTTGCACTATCTCACCAACTAAATCCTTAGAGTCTCTAGCTAAAACTCTGAAAGGGGCCTTTGTAAAGTTGTAGGAAATAAGCCACAATTACAAAGCCTAGCATTTTGGTAAGGGCCTATCTCTACTACCTGGGAATCCCAATTTAATCTCACCCAACAAGTTCTAATAACCAAATGGTGAAAAATAAACATGGTGCAGACCCAACAGAACTCTGGCAACATGAATAACCAGAGTAGATCAAAGCCCCCAAGAAATGACAAAGGATATACAACTGAAGATGCCATGCATTGACAAATGGCAGAAATGACAGAAATCAAAGTCAGAATATGGATTGCAGGCTTGGCACCTGTGGCTCAAGCGGCTAAGGCACCAGCCACATACACCTAAGGTGGCGGGTTCGAATCCCCAGCCCGGGCCCGCCAAACAACGATGGCTGCAACCAAAAAA